AGACTCTGAAATACACATGTGAGAAGTAATTTTCAAATCCTCATCCTCTGTAGTCTATGCTACATCACCCTTAGAAGAGTTACCACACACAAAAGAAAGTTTTCTCTCCAACTTCTCCTTCAGCTACAATTTGGTAAAGCTAATTGCTACTTAAATGTCCACTAATACAGTGAAGTTTAACTTGTTTCCTTCCTGATTCATTCAACACCAATTTCAAGTTTGCTGGAATTGTTCTCGAATACTGTTTCACAAAGGGTTAGAAAATGTCCCTTTTGCCTAATACCTTCATTAAAATAAAGTCACATGGGAATCAAAAGCTGAGTGCTGTTAAGCTGTCATACGTAAGGATGCTAGAATCTCTGGTTCATCTCCATGACTAAGTTTGGTTTATTCCCATTACAGAAGGCTACAAGAAATCACTGATGAAAAGGTGGTCTACTTTAGCATCGCCATTTAGGATATAAATTTGCCAGTACTGATCAGAAGACAGCTAAGCTTCTGAATTGCTTGCAAGAATTACATGAAGGGGGTAAGTGTATATTGTGCAGGTGCACCACTGCAAATGCTTTGGAATTTTGCTAACGTGGAGGAAGTTCTAGTTTACTTGCCAAAGGAAAGGTAACAAGTGATAGCATGGGAAAAAAAAAAAAAAAAAAGCATAATTTCAGGGGGAACCATCACTCTTTGCAGATTCCATCCTGCTTCAAGTGCATCGGAGATCATTCACGCACACTTCCAACTAAAAGCTGCTGAGCATTTTCTGTTAGATTCAGTATAAGTAAGTTATGCAGCATGCAATGCGGCTATTTAGAGAATCACCGTAAGAAAAATGCAGGTGCTTTGCTAGTATTTTCTCAAAGTTACAAAGACATTAAAAGGTCCTCCACGTCATTTATTTTGTTCAAGTCTTCCGCAAATGTCTGCTGCATGTGCTTTGTCCACTCAAAATTTAACAGCCTTTAACAGTTCAGACAATGACATTGAATATTTGGCATAAAAGTTTGAAAAAACGGTTGGGTTCGCCCCCCCCCCTCCCGCCCAGTGCTTAAGTCTCCCTTCCAATAGAGAAGGGCAGGAAATGTTACAGCAGAAAGTCAGTTTGGTGCCCGTTTTCTGATACAGCACAGTCTTCATTAGCTAGTGTAGTAACTGATGCATTTCTTCCACTATTCAGTGACCAAATATTCTCATCTTATGGTTAGGATTGTTGCCTACAGCACCACAGTTAGTCTCAGTTTTCTTATCCATTGCAGCAAATAAAACATGTTCCAAGCAATATGTATTCTCTTTCGGAGAAGAAAGGCCAAGGAACGATAGCAGAAGTTATCCATGGAGGGATAGCAGAAGTTATCCAGAGGCTTTACTCTAGTCTAATAAACATGATCATTGAGCATTTTATTGCCATCGTGTCTTTCCAACCCTTGAAAGCTGCACATTTGATGTTTAAAACAATTACACCGCAACTTTTTCCACCAACTATGGAGCTACCTTCAAATTTTTCCTCTAATGCGGACATCGCAGATACTCTTTTAACAGGGAACGAAAGTCTCCTGCAAGAATCAAAGCTCATCTAAATCTCCTGCTAGAAAAGGTCAGCCTGAGATGCAAAGCTGAACATGTGACCATGTCCTTCTACCAAAGCAAAGGCCAGAACTAGGGAAGTTCTTCACTGACAGCTACAAAGAGACACCAAGGGATAAGATTCCCAGAGTTTGTTGAGCAAGTAGCGATATCTCCAAGACAGTTTTCGAACTTAGTTTAGCAGAAATTGATACGCTTTGCGTAGTAGAACTATCGACACTGCACAGCTTCAAGAGCTTGTTTCACCTACACAAACTTTTCTTTACTGCTGACCTCAAGCCAAAGATATATCCACCTGATGGATGAATACAGAGGAGTAAAACCTACAAGAAATTAAGAACCTGGGTGTTTGTTTTGGTCCCACAACTTCTAAACCAGTGAAAAAGAGCAGGAGAGCAAAAACGGGAGAAGTGATTTCTCAAACAGGAGTTTCATTAGAAAAATCATGGAAAAAATGTACACGAAAAAACACAATTGCACAAGGAATAGGAGAATATTTTAGCTGCCTTTACATATCAAAAAAGAAGCGCTCTCATTTGAACAACTGGTTCCGCAAGTAGCATTGCCATGAAGCTTTTTACATATGCCATCAGGCTAAACTCCATCCTCTTTGAAAGTGTAAAAACACTTACTTCTTTTCCTCCGATGTCTAGCAACAGCTATAGGACAAGTTCAGAGGCAAAAAGGTTTTCAGATTCAAAAATAAGAACTAAAAAAATAATTTTAAAGTTCTCAGAAAGGAACTCTTTACTGCATTTGTAAAAAATTTAGTGTGCCATCATGTGCCAGAAGGTTAAGTAAGCATCAATATATCTGCAAATCACAGGGATCTTTGT